GATGTATATGTAGACGATCTAAGGGCAGTAAGTAGGCCAGAGTCTTCTTACAAGATGCTGACATCCGCTGAAGATGGCCTGACTCTGGAACAACCTCAGAGAGTGCTGCATCCAGCCTTTCTTACTGCCAAACACACACACACTCACCATCAGTAATATATAAACCCACAAACACCTTATGCACACACTGACAAAAGCACAAAAGCATGCATCCACTTACGACTGCAGATATACACACGTGCACACATTGTCTGAGCGGCGCACTTTACTGTATTACTCTAATTCAATTAGCTTTGATTGGTGTAGAGGGTTTTCAGATATCACTGCTGCAGCTATTTGCAGTAGCTTCACTGTAGCCAACGTGGAGTTTGTGCACCATTTTCAACTGTTGAATATCAGTGGCTTGCACGGTTCATATTTGGCTGATGGAGCATATCCAGATCCAGTATATTTAGACTACTGCAGGTGCTGCAAACAAAAGATTGATCGTCCTTATAAAAATAACACTGCGCCCTAAATTGTGCTGTAGCAGGGAGATTGTTCCGGGATGGAGAAAAATTCGATTACATCGCTAAAAGAGAGTGTTTGGCAGCTAAGAGCATTCAGTCAAGTGTGTGTGTGCTGTATTAATTAATTTATTGGAATGGATTACAGTCCAGATTGAGCACTCATTCATCCAGATCTCACTAACATAATCTGCCTCTAAACATTTTGTAGCGACTTGTCAGAGCTCTCCCGCTGGGTGAGCGATATTTGTTCTGTTGTGCTGGGGTTTTAGGCGCCTCTGTCAGGGCTGTCAAAGGGTTTATCTTCATCCAGCGGCTTCTTTTGTGCTTCACTCTCCCCTGCCATCCTGCCCCCTTTCACTGGTCACACCACACTTCCTGTTAAATCCCATTACCAGAGCCAGACGCGGCTCTCTGCACTGTTACACTCTTTGAGCATAATTATATAGGCTGAGCTGCTGAGTACAGATGCTGCTGAAAATACACTCGCTGTTCCCCTTCTTACTCATCCTCCACTGCCAAAATAGTTTTTTTTCCTCCCCACACTGGGATTTTTGGTGATGTCACCATGTGATGTCATCCAGTTCGTGTTCCAAAAAAGCTTATGTCTTATGCAAACAGGCGTGTACACAGTATTCCCTTTTTCCCCTATGAACACTCCAGTTTTTCCAAGATTATGTGGTGAGATTGTAGCAGCAGTACAGTATGTTCTCCCTCAGTGTCAGAGTGTCAGTGTGCACAAATGATGTATTAAATGATGTGTTTTTTACTCATCTGTCGAATATATTCTCTCTGAGACCTGGAGTGAGGTCTTCAACCCCCAGCCTGGACCATTGTCCTGACACATCCCTTAACTTAAACTTACCTTAAAAAACAAAGGTCAGGTTTTTACTTTTATAGCCCTTAACCTATGGAAAACTATGTTGAGGTGTCTGTTGTTATATTTTGTTTGTTTACCTTTGGATTTTTTGTTACTAATTGTTTATTTAGTATTTTACAGTACTTTGGTCGGCAGATGTTGTTTTTAATTGTGCTCTATTAATAAAATTGACATTGACATGATCTCCTTAACCTAACCATAATTCTAAAGGCCAGATCGTTACCCTGAAGGTGTAAGAGGAAGGCTTTGGCATAAATAAATAACTAATGCAGGGTCATCCAGTTACACCTGATATTTGCAGCACATTTCGTTTGTGCTGTCAAACTGATGATGGTGGTTTGATGGTTGGTTTTCTTCATTTGCTAGTGCTTTGTCTATTTGCATGTATTTACTTAAATTGTAGTGTGCTGATCTCTCAGGGCCACCATACATCAAAAAAATCCTGAAGCAGCACTTCTTCTTTTCACTTTGCCAGTGTAAAGGAAATGATTGTCACTCCGATAACTTGATAGACCTCTATGGCTGATAAAATTCACACCGGACTTCCTGGGTTGTATCGGTACCTATTGTAACGTACCTCCTTTGGTGTTTTGTCAGCATTTTATGTCTTTTTATTATTACAGTCAGCATTAGAGAGTTGACAGAAAACAGAGGCAAGAGTGATGGGGAACAATATACTGTACAGTCGTGTCCAGCTCGACTGGAACAAGGCATAAAAAAAAGCAATTCTATTTTTCCTCTGAGTAAAACTTAATCATTAAACTAACTGCTGTGCTACTGTATTCCTGCAGTTTATTGATATCCTGTCCTAGTTATAACCTCATCTTAAGTGAAATCCAAAGCTTAAATCTACCTTAACCCCAACCCTTCCTTAAAATGAATCAATGCTAATTATTTTCTTAATCTTCAACCATAATCTATACCTTAATTTTGGCTAAATGACATCAGTTTGATGGTCTGAAGTCCAGCTGGTTCTCGTTAGAATAGAGTCAACACGGCTCAGTGAGCACGTTAGCCACGCCTTCCATTTCTGATGTTCTTCATGGGTAACTTGTGAGGCCAGACTAAAAGGAAGGAGATATGGAAGGAAGAAAGGGAGGTGGGAGTGAAGGAGGGAGGGCGTAAGACTGATTAGAAAATGGATGAGGGTGTCCAGGTGGGAGGTACAGGAGAAGGCCAGTGAAGCGCAGACTGTCTGTCAGTCGGGCAGCGAGGTCCCACAGCACCTGCTGTGTTCACTTCCAGCAGGGAAATGATTGTGTAACTACAATATGCAAATCCTGCAGGCTGGTAGAGGCCTGAGGGAGTAGAACCAGCTGCACCAGTACTGCAGCCGGCTCCGACACCAGCTGGAGCTGCCTGCCAGGCTGCATGACCACATGATTGACTGTCACTAACCCGTGCTAACAGGCTTGTGAGACCAATGCATTCGGATGATGATGAAAAGGGCTGAGTGTGTTTGTGCCCGTGTGCACAGTTTTTGGTGTGCATGAGACCAGTTGTATGTTTTAGTGGACAAAATGCAGTCGCATCAAGAATGTGTATGTGTGTGTTGCAGACTTGGGTTTTAGTTTAACAGCAAACAGCCAGTGCAGAGGTGATCCGAGCCAACAATAATCTGGTCGAGATCAACTGTAAAGCCGTAGTCACACAGTGTCTGGTAGCGTTGTGCAAATAGGGCTGCAGCTAATGATTATTATCATTATCATCAATCAATCTGCTCATTATTACTTCGGTTAGAAAATTGTGAAAAATATGAGTCCAAGATGGCATCTTCCGATTGCTTCTTTTGTTCAACCAACAGCCCAAAACCCAAAGATATTCAGTTTTTAATGATAAAAATCAAAAATAGTCCTCACATTTTAAAAGCTGGAACCATATTTTTTTTTGTATTTTTGCTCTATAAGTGACTTAAATAATCAGTTATTCAAATTATTGCATACATATTTTTTGAAACACGCTGAATAAGTTGCTTTGTACATTTTCATTGGATCTGTAGCTTCAGAAAAATACCAAATGTTGCCATTTTGACCAACACTAGGAGTATTTAGCTTTGTCAGAGAGATTAGCTTTGTCACCAGGACTGAGAGTTTAACCAGAGCTGGTGCTGGAGATACTGGTGCCGACATAAAGCTGAGGGCTGAGAGTGTGGATTCACAAGACTGATGTAGCTGATGCAGCCATGAATTAGTGTGTCATCGCCAATTAAAATAATTATTGTTATGGAGCGGATTCTTTGGGCTGAAGTGGGTTGTGTGAACTGTTCTGGATGGAGGGATTATAGGACAAGATGAACAGAGGTGCAGGTGGCCGTGAGGTGAACAATAACAGTAATTCTGACGAGTAAATATCTGGGACAAACACAAGTTCAACTTGACAAGTTGAATGTGAAAAACTTTCTTTTGAGGGAAAACCGGACAGTTTGCACTGTGACTAGATTAAATATGTCAAACACATTATGTAAGTGATGCTAGGCAAGAGGTGCCCAAACAAAAACTACTATATGTTTAATCTACCTGTATTCAGCCCAGTGCAAAATCCTCTTTTAAAATGCCTCAGTACGGAGGTTAAGTTTGGATCTGACACAGAAACTTCATGGGAGACTGTGAAGGCAACAAGAGGGCAGACAGAAGTCTGAAACTCTTTATGTTTCTTCAGAAACATGCAGATACTGTAAAATACAGTGTAGAAATCTTTTGAACGGCAAAAGAAAGCTATCTTCAGCCTGTCTAAATTAGATTTGATGTGAACTGTACGTTTGATTTATGCTATAGAAACCTCATCATTATGAAATCCAAGGTAAAAGACCTTCGGCACCATGTTCAATTTACAGGATATACACAACATTGGAACTGTCACTGCCCACAGTTTGGTTATGTTTGTGTTTTGGTGCTGTTTCTAAGTGGGCGCAGCCTTTCTGTGGCAGAGCCAGCGACTGAGTCAAAGTCTGTTTCTGTTCCGGGCAAAACAAGTTCACCCTCACACTTTCCGTCTGTCAGACCATGACTGATTCATGCCACCCTACTGGTCCTATTTTGGCTGGCAACGGAGTGTGTACAGTGATGTTTTTGCTTTATACCAAGTAAAAATGAGAGTGAAGTAGGAGACTGTTGTGTTGTTGCACAAGTAAACTGACCAGTATCACAACCATTCACCAGTCTTCAGGAATGAAACCAAACGTTCTTCTGTTTGTGTTATATACACTGAGTCCAAACATGTGGGGTCATTAGCCCCTTTCAGACAAACACCCTTATATGTTAATATAGTCGCCGACACATAGTCATATGGTGCGTTTTGCGCGTAGTGTCCGAACCAGTCACAGTGGTAGGTCAACTGTGTTTTGCCAGTGACTTAAAGCCAAGGTTAAAACATTTCTCTACTGGTTTTTCTTTTAGACAATATAAACCGACAAAAACATGAAATATTCTGATATATGGAAATAATCAGCGGCATCTTAAGACTACAGAGATCCTCAGTGTTGAATTCACAAAGGTGCTTTTATTGGCGTGTTGTAGTGTCATCCTCTCCCTCTCCATTATGCAGCAACAACAGTGGTTATTTCAAGATCTTTTAAGTGTTTGTTTTCAATTAAAACCTTCTCCATTCTTTTGCAGACTGCACTAAGAAGACGAGGAAGCAGAGAAACATTTAAAGAGAAGAAATCCACAAGTCAGGTAAAAAAAAAATTAATACTCAGTTTCTTTCCTCTAAATGTAACATCGTGCAATATTATATGTTACTGAGTTTCAGCCCAAAGTCTACCTGTTCAGGCTGCAGCTCAATTAGTTGTCAGCCACAACAGGCAGCTGTTTTCAGTGAAAGAACTCAAACCACTACCTCTCAGCATTTAGCAGCTTAAGAGCCAGATATTTCTCTCAGTAGAGACCAAAATCATCAAAGTTAGAAGTGAGTGAATATTGGACTTGTATTTATCAGGTAGACACAAACATGGCTCCTAATTAATTAATTAACCTAATTAAATTAACTGGTAAATGTGTAATTAAGCAGATCACCTATTGTAGGTTTAAAGTTGATGTCGCTCTCATCCCTGTCGCCCTGCCAGGAGGACAGCGCAGACCTCAGGTGCCAGCTCCAGTTTGCCAAAGAGGAATCCAGCCTGATGAGGAAAAAGATGGCGAAGCTGGGCCGGGAGAAGGATGAACTGGAGCAGGAGCTGCAAAAGTACAAGTCGATTTACGGAGACGCTGATAGTCCCCTTCCCCTGGCCGAGTGCTCTGGTGGAGGCCCTCACACCACTCGAGAAGCTGAGCTGCGACTACGACTCAAGCTGGTGGAGGAAGAGGCTAATATCCTGGGCAGAAAGATTGTGGAGCTGGAGGTGGAGAACCGCAGCCTGAGGGCGGAAAACGAAGACATCCGGTGTCAGTATGAAAGAGACTGCTTTGGCCGAGAACCCTTCTCCAGCATGCCATCATCGCCATATGGTGGTGATGCGGTTGAGTCGGCCACTGAGCTTCGTCGTCATCTGCAGTTTGTGGAGGAGGAGGCTGAGCTGTTGCGTCGTTCCATTTCAGAGATTGAGGACCACAACAGGCAGCTGACATCGGAACTCAATCGCTTCAAATTCGGCCCCAGCAGCAGCTCTGGGGTTTATGGCGAAGAGGGTAGTGAAGGAGCATTGTTTAAACCTGGTAATGGGGGGAGCAGTAATGGCTCTGGCAGCGGCATGATGATGGAGGAGCTGAAGTCAGCCAGGATGCAGATCAATGAGCTGAGTGGAAAGGTGATGAAGCTGCAGTATGAGAACCGTGTCCTCATGTCTAACGTCCAGCGCTGCGACCTGGCTGCGCATCTTGGCCTGCGCACCGGCAGCCCTCGAGACAGCGATGCAGAGAGTGATGCAGGGCGACGGGAAGCCGCTGAGGACGAGGGGAGCGGGGGGATCCACCTCTCAGCATTTAGCAGCTTAAGAGCCAGATATTTCTCTCAGTAGAGACCAAAATCATCAAAGTTAGAAGTGAGTGAATATTGGACTTGTATTTATCAGGTAGACACAAACATGGCTCCTAATTAATTAATTAACCTAATTAAATTAACTGGTAAATGTGTAATTAAGCAGATCACCTATTGTAGGTTTAAAGTTGGTGTCGCTCTCATCCCTGTCGCCCTGCCAGGAGGACAGCGCAGACCTCAGGTGCCAGCTCCAGTTTGCCAAAGAGGAATCCAGCCTGATGAGGAAAAAGATGGCGAAGCTGGGCCGGGAGAAGGATGAACTGGAGCAGGAGCTGCAAAAGTACAAGTCGATTTACGGAGACGCTGATAGTCCCCTTCCCCTGGCCGAGTGCTCTGGTGGAGGCCCTCACACCACTCGAGAAGCTGAGCTGCGACTACGACTCAAGCTGGTGGAGGAAGAGGCTAATATCCTGGGCAGAAAGATTGTGGAGCTGGAGGTGGAGAACCGCAGCCTGAGGGCGGAAAACGAAGACATCCGGTGTCAGTATGAAAGAGACTGCTTTGGCCGAGAACCCTTCTCCAGCATGCCATCATCGCCATATGGTGGTGATGCGGTTGAGTCGGCCACTGAGCTTCGTCGTCATCTGCAGTTTGTGGAGGAGGAGGCTGAGCTGTTGCGTCGTTCCATTTCAGAGATTGAGGACCACAACAGGCAGCTGACATCGGAACTCAATCGCTTCAAATTCGGCCCCAGCAGCAGCTCTGGGGTTTATGGCGAAGAGGGTAGTGAAGGAGCATTGTTTAAACCTGGTAATGGGGGGAGCAGTAATGGCTCTGGCAGCGGCATGATGATGGAGGAGCTGAAGTCAGCCAGGATGCAGATCAATGAGCTGAGTGGAAAGGTGATGAAGCTGCAGTATGAGAACCGTGTCCTCATGTCTAACGTCCAGCGCTGCGACCTGGCTGCGCATCTTGGCCTGCGCACCGGCAGCCCTCGAGACAGCGATGCAGAGAGTGATGCAGGTCGACGGGAAGCCGCTGAGGACGAGGAGACAGGGCGACTCCTTCTTCTCCACCCCAAGAGAGAGGGCCCAATTGGGGGTGAGAGCGACTCTGAAGACCTGTTTGAGAAAACAACCACCACCTCAGGGTTCGGAAGCATCAAACCTGCAGATGGCAGCAAGCTCAGCGCCACTGAACTGGCCAATCGCAGGAGGGAAGAGCGAGAGTCATTCACTAATGTCAAACGAGAGGCAGAAAGACTGGGGAAGACAGTCGACCGCCTGATCACCGACACTGACAGTTTGATCCTCGATGGCAGGCTGCTGGTCACAACAGGAGAGAGTCTGGAGGGAGGGGCGCTGTCCGGATCCAAACCAGACACCCAAGTCCTGGACACCATCAACACTCGCATGAAGGCTTTCCGCACTGAGCTGCACATCTTCGTGGAGAAGCTGGACCATGCAGGAGAGGGGCTGAGAGAAAGGACAGATGATCTGTCACCCATGCCGAACCTCACAGAGTCCAGCAGCTTCCTGTCCACAGTCACCTCCATGTCCCGCGACTCTCCTATTGGCACCATTGGAAGAGACCTGGTGACGGACTTCCAGGTAAGTTCAATGACCTTTTCTGCTGTTTTTAAGGTTACATAGTTTGATATATTTAGTTGTTTTTGTGGCTGCTTTGCTCTTTTGTAAAAGAACAATATCAGTAAGGGCGAAGGCCTGTCAGCCAGTTAGCCATGATGGAGGAAAAGGAAGTACTGTAGTTCAGATTTTTTTTATGGCCATGGCAAACACATTGTTCCTTAAAGATCTTGCAAACACTGATTAGCATTCAAATTAAAAAGCATCCCACCTGGTTATCCAAATGATTATCAAGTCGCAGGAAGAAAAGATGACAAAAACATATCATGCCAGATGGACTCATGGCTTTAAAACAGCAGTAGGCAAAATGAAGCTGTTTGCGATATTCTGTTAAGTAGCAGGCCAAATCCGTACACATAGAGCTAACCATGACTATGCCCATTGGTGTTTCTAGATGTGAGAATTCATTCAAGTTTGATTTAAATGCCCCTAAGTGTGCAGTCATTAATGGACTATTTAAGGCTAGAATGAACTAATTGAGCTACTAAGTCACAACTAATTAAAGACAGTGGCAGTGCTGTACGTCTTCAGCTGAACCAACACTTTCCACAGCCTGTCAGTGACAATCTCTTGAAGTTGTAGACAAACGTGGTTTAAAGGATAGGTTTGGATTTTTTCAAGTTTAATAAATACATCACATACCCATATGTACAGTATGTCGAGAGAGGTCTCAACTCCACTGTAAGAGGTGTGGGCTAAAATCTACAGTCCTCCGTCTCTGCAAAAAGGTCTGTTTGTGGCTGCAGAAGGCCACCAAGAGTCATTGAGATAGAAGTACTACACCTAACCTACCATGGAAAGATACCAGCATGTCATGGTAGCCTCATATTAGCTTTGGCTACATTTTAGAACGCGTACACAGAGCGAGAACTGTGGATTTTGTCCTATGGCAATCACAGCGGAGTCTGGCTGGACCAGTAGACCTGTCAAATGGTAAAGCAGGTGTCTTAAGGTGAAAGGAAGACAACCATAGAGCAGGCAGGCAAAAGCTAGACTTATTTTGATTTTCAATAAAATAAAATACAGACCAGGAAAGAGGATTCTCACAGTCATACTTTAAGAATATATCAGAAAAGTTGTCAGCTGATGTGTGGCAAACAAGTGTTTCATCCTTCACTGTAACTTTTGCTAGCAGAACTCCCCGAGTCACCCACAATAGAGAAACTTGTGAGAAGGTTACAGTGGTGCAAAACAAAAAAAAAACTGAACTTATCCTTTAAAGCCTCAACAGGAAATAGATTCTGAGGGACTTTTAGACAGGACCCCCCTCCCCCTCCCTCCCAAAGCCTTCCAGCACCAGCAGGGTGAAATATCAGGCACTGAGCTCCACCATGAGCCACCCAGCTCCACCACACTGATGCCACTGCCCACCCCTTCCCCAACCCACCGCCACCACCATCACTTCCTACTGCCACCACATTCACATCTGCATCTCCATGCGCATCCTCATAGCCAGCAGCTCCACCTGCCTCCTCCTTGCTGCATTCACTGTCTGTAACTGCCCTGCGTCCAGTCAATCAGGGCCAGGGGAGGGAAGGGGCCTGGAGGGGGACTTAGGAAGATGCTTGAAAGGGTGCCTGGTATGAACAGAGTAAGTACTAAAGGAGTTACAGCAGCTTCTTCCATTTGGCTCAATTCAGAGTTTTTCTCAACTCAGTGAACTGTTGCATGATGGAGTTTGTAAATATGTTTCTCTTTACAGTTTGGCTACACCATGCTGTCACTTGTAAGGCTCATTATACTGGCGTTAGCTCTTATGTTTGCACAATGCACCATCACACACACACACACACACACACACACACACACACGTGGGATTTGGTGTTGCTAAGGAAACATGGAAAAATGTGTGTACTGTCTAAAATAACTCTTGTTCAACAAGAAGAGTCTAAACCAGAGTTGCATGGGACTGTGTGACTTGCCTGTGGTGGAATGTTGCTGGCTGGCCTCCCGCTTTGTGTCTTTGTTTTGTTGCAGCTTAGTGTGAGTCTACACGTCACATACCGTGTACTCTCCCAAAGCAAGTTCATTATATCTGTGCTGCATGATCAGACAGACGTCTTCAGTGTGTATTCTACTGCGTCAAACTGTTGTTTGCAATAACACAAATAGCTCTTCAAACATTTCTCACTTCAAGACTCCAGTCTGCTTCATAGAAACAAAAGACTAGCTGCCTCCATACTCACTGTGTCAGTGACTTGTTTGTGCTTCGCTCCTGTGCCTGTAGGATTTGCTTGTTAGTCTGGGTGAAGCTGGGTGGTTTAATCAAACCTAATCATTGTACTAAGAACTCACACCTTTGTCCGCTGAGAACTGTTGAAGATTGACAAAGTTATGACAAAGGAATCTTAGCGTTTTAAATGTAGACGACTAGAAAGCAAAAGCTGTCGTTGCAGCCACAAAGAGTCGAGTTTACATTGGACGCAAATGCATTAAAAAAATTTTAGGATCAGAAGGTGCTGTATGTGCTCAAAGTTGTAATTACAAGACACAGAAGTCTCAATAATAAGAAAACATCCCAATTTCTTTCATCTGCTTTTGTACCAATTTGACATTGATGGTATAAAGTTGCTGCGACCTATAAGGAGAATCCTTTCTTATAAAAATAAAACGTGGCCACTGTTAGAACTGGCATGGTGCTACCTTAAAGCTCAATGGTCACATCCAATGCCTCGAGTGTATTTTAAATCCTGTGATGTCTGAAAACAATGTGCATCAAACTTTCTTTAGCTGACTGCTTCTACAACACACACTGCTGTGCACGGGCATGTGTTGAAAACATTTAGTGTGCTAGCTATTGCTCTGGTATCTCTCAGCTGTTGGTTTGGACTCATGTATCCCTCATTGCATGCGCTTCATAACAAGTGTTTTGCATTCTTTTCCCCCCGATTCCCTCTCTTTGGTCCTCTTTGTGTTCCCGCCAGATGTTTCAGCCCATGATTTTGTTCATCTTCATTCTCGTTCTCTTCTCATCTCTCTCGTACGCCGTCATCTTTAAGTTGGTCTTTCTCTTCACGCTATTCTTCATACTCTAGTTCGTTTGTTCTTCTCCACGCCGTGTAGTTTGTTAATTTATTTACCCCCTCTGCTTATATTCTTTATCCATTTCTGTTTTTTCTTTTCCCCGCCCATTTTCGTTCCTTGTCCCTTCACTCCGTTTGTTCTTTCCTGTTTGTTTTGTCCACGACCCACCTCACACATCTCCCCCAATGCCACTACCATCATTACCTACACCCCTGTGTTCTGCAACTGTCACCCATCCCTCCTAATCCCTTACACTCACCATCCCCACTCCTCCCCCTCCTTTCTTCCTCTCCTTCCCCACCCCACGTCACTCACAGTTTGGTCAGAGGGATGAGCTGGAGTGGCGTCTAGGACAGGAGCGAGGCGTGGAGCCCCAGAGCCAGAGCCAGGGTGGGGGCCAGGCCCAGAGCAAGGGAGCCACTGGACTCACTAGGTACCACAGGCCCCTGGCTTTAAGAGCAGAGGTCAGTGCCTCCTCCCTCCTCCATCTCCCCTTCTACCTGTGGGACTGAGTTACCACCGGCTCCACCGTGAGCCTCATACATGGGCCTTCTGTGTGCCTTCTTTTAAAACATTAACCTGGACAGTTTTTGACCTGGATGCTGTTTTCTTGTACTGCGATTCCTCCCTCACCAATTGATTCAACTTAAAATGTGTGAGCGTCTTCACTGTAGAGCAATAAAGCTTGTGCTTTCCAGGGTGAACAGCTGTCAAACGCTGGCTTCACAGGTCGAACAGACACTCCAAAAACCAACCCCAAAATTAACCGAAGCATGCCATCTTCAACATGCAGATGATAGCAGTGACTTCTATAATGACATTGATAAAGAAGATAGATTTGATGTGGAAATCTGTGCATCCTTACTCATAAAAGAAATAATGAGAAGTCATCTATTGTCTGGCTCATGAAGTTTCCTGGGCAAATGTAAAACGAATTCTGTGCTGAGACATTATTTTTAGTGTTCTGGGGTTTATTTTTGAAGTGTTTGTATATGTTTTGGCAAGCAAGACTAACGTTGCTCACCGGCGAAGCAACTGATAACATTTACAGGTACAGGTCAAATGTGAGGTGTTTAGCTTTCCAGGTTATCTACTGGAGACAAAATGGAAAAATCTTAAAGGAAAAAATTGACACTCAATCTGTCTTCTGCACATGCAAACAAATTCTATTTAACCAACTCTCCATAAAATGTTCTGAGTCTGTAGGGGATTGAGTTTTCATATACTTCCATAAATGTGTTCTGATCAGAAGGCCACTCAGTCTAGTGTGTCAAGTGAAGCTCCAGCCAGTCATTTTTTGATGCCGAACACGCTTTCACTTCATTCACTCATTCTGCCTTTGCACTCCGTATCCACTCCCACAGCCACTGACATTTACTTTCAGCATTAATTTAGCATTTTTCTCTTTTTGCTTTTGTAATTTGTACCATATGCCCCTGGACATTCTGTGATTGTTACTTCTTTGAAGAAGCAAGTAGAATGCATAACCTCTGAGTTAAGAGATTGTTTTGGTGCTGAAATTGTTGGCCCACCACTGGAGCCTGAATGCATTGTACCAAGTGGTGAGTCAGAACAAAATATTTACAATGGCTATAATCTCCTTCTATACATATTTGACATTTTCATTTAAAAAAATTTACTGTACAGTTATTCACTTATCAGAATAGTTGTAGATGAATGTGTTGTCGCTGCATCTCTACTGTACTCAGGTTGTCACAGCCCAGCCTGCACACAGCGTACTCTGGACGCCCTCTGGCACCAGTTCATCACTACTGTACTGTCATGGCTCAGCTCAGCCAAATAAAACATATGTAAAAGTGCAGCTTACACACAAGTGTCCTCTTTACGCTCACACACACACTGAGATAATCAGCGACGCGAGCGGTAATATTGCTGCAGCACACATCAGCTCGTGTCTGATAAATCCTTCAGTGACTCGACTTTAATAAACCTGCTGTGTAATCGCAGGATGCTGTGATTTATAATCGCTGCCTCGTGTTTGTTGTCATAGAGAAATTGCCTACTGTTATGTAACGTGGAGAGCTGATGGTGGCAGGGTGACATGTAACTACTACAGTTACTTTTTGTCCCTGTGCTTTCTGCCACAGGGTAATCTATGAGGTGAATGAATGGGAAAGCAGCTTGAATATGGCAGGACTGGTGCTGCGCTGTAGGCCTGTGTGATTTTCATTTGACATTGGGCTGACAGGGAGGTGACAGGAAGCTCGACTTACTGTTAGAGGGTTCAGTAAAGGCCCTCACACAGGACAGAGGAAAGAAACTGTATGTATGTAACTGTACTGCTGCAGTTTATACGTCAGAGCCTGAACTTTGATTCTCTTTAGAAAGAAGCACGATTCAGCGATGTCTTGTAAACAAGTTGGGGAAGATTCATTACAGTCAAAACCATGAGCATCTCATTTCGCTTTGAACAGTTTTTCCACCTGTAGTAAAATAAATTAAACCTGAGATGCATTCAGTTTCTTATTTTGATTGCTGCATTGGACATGTATGATTTTGAGCTAATTAAGTGCATTTTGTGAGATAATACAAAAGAGTTAATTGCATTATAAAGGTTTTTAGCTAATTATACTTCTAATTAATATGCTTAAATCTGAATGAGTGTGAGATGTTGATGTGTGTTATAACTTATCAGAAAGCTGGTAAGGTGACTGTACTCTGTGCTGTTGTGGGTTCAGCTCCGGGACACGCCTGCTTCTGACATCCAGTTTCATCTGGATCATGAACGAAGGCTGAGAGCGGTAACGGAGGAACGGGAGGCTGCTGTTTCTCTGCCTCAGGTACAACAGTGCAGTCAGTCACACCATGTTTGGGTGTCTTTAGGTTGTTAACATCAATGTAACCTGCAGTATCACACTTCACTCAAGCCTGTAATTAAAAATGACTCTGTCTGAATAAAAATATAATTTTTAAGTAATGATGAATAACCATCATGTATGCTACACTGGAATCAACAGCCCTTCACAAAAATGCAGCAAATCCAAAATTATGCAATATTTTAATTAAAACTTTTGTCCAGAATGTTTCTCAGTTTCTTCTCTGATTTCTTCTGCAGCAGGTGGATGAGCGTTTGCATCTGGAGGCCCAGCGTGGAGGTCTGGAGCTGCAGGGCCTACAGAGCGCTGAGGTTCCCTGGGCTCAGGAGAGAGCCATGCTGCAACAACAGGTTAATATGTTCAGACGCAGCACCATTATCTTCTACATGAAGCTCAGATGGATCCTAATGCACTGGAGGCTCAGCTGCAAGGAGGACACCGGAGATGGGGCGGTGCACCCAGAGGTAACTGGATGGGACACTGTCTCTTAATGAATTAATGACCAAGTGACACATTTCAGGTGTTTCCTTTACTCTGCATGATTTCCACAGTTTTTCCCTTTGCTTTCCATCATGCACATACTGCAGGTTTAAAGGCTTTTCAGTTTTTAATGGGTCATCTGGACAGGTCAGAGCTGGCTCATTCATTAATTTAGTGTCCACTTTGCCATTTGTTTTAGTTTGATCATCTAATTACTAGAATGTAGCTTGTTCTCGAAAGCTGCATTATAGTTACTACAAGTGAGACATTTTTAGCTGTGGAAAATGCATGATGAGCTTTTCACCTGTTTGGTCATTGCTGCTGTTAATGTTTTTGTTTGTTTGTTTGTTTGTTTTTGAAGACACTTGTCCCCAAAATACCGTCCCATTACACTAATACCTGAGGTGGACATCATATTGAACTAGCTTAAACACAGAGAGAGCGGTTGGAAATGTGTTTGAATTGTATTTGTTTTCCTTTTATTCTCTTCAGCCAGTGAGAATTAATGGTTGCACATACACTTTATGGTACAGTACAGTTCTTAGCCTGCATAACACCAAAGCATGAGTTTGACTCTATTGTTTAGAATGAAATGACAAGCTGGTGACTCATCCTGAATCACTTCCAGTCCTGTACCACCATGAGGTGTGTAATTCCCACAGGCTTCAGCTACAGGCACATCACTTTGTTTTGTTATGTAATATTAATTACAGATAGAGACTTTTTTAAACTCTTCTGCATCCTCTTCATAAGTCTGAAATTCTGCTCTTTTGGAAGAGGCGTTCAGTCAGCTGTATGATCACGCTGCTAATTTATATTGGGTTATAATCAAATAACAGAAACAATTCTTCGTATAATATGGTTGAGTTCAACAACAGCACAAACTGCATCTTCCAAAATGATCATACAGTTGAATCAGAACCTCTCTAAAACAAATTTAACATAAAAAATGTAATGAAGGAGGATTGTTGCATTAGACTGTCTTATTTTTAGCCTGGTGTACCTAATAAACTACCAACTGATTGTATCACCGAGCACAGTGTTTACCTTAAGGCATGATCATGTTCACTGGGTCATTTTAAGTGTGTTACGATTCTGTTTTTAGGAAGGACAGTGAACCTGCAGACCTTAACCTTGTCAAATATATGTTGTCTCTATTTAAAGACAGAGAACACTTAAGTTTTATATATAATTCCCCCACTCACCCCACTTTGGGGTGGTCTTGTATTCCTTCCTTCAAGCTCAGGTCCTCTACCAGAGGCCTGGGAGCTTGAGGGTCCTGCGCAATATCTTAGCCGTTTGGAGGTCACAGCGCCCAGTGTTCCTGTTACCACGGGGACCACTTGTGCCTTCACCTTCCACATCTTCTCTAGCTCTTCTTTCAGCCCTTGGTATTTCTCCAGCTGCTCGTGTTCCTTCTTCCTGATGTTGCTATCACTTGGGATTGCTACATCTATCACTACGGCCCTCTTCCTCTCTTTGTCCACCACTACTATGTCTGGTTGGTTGGCCATTACCAGTTTGTCAGTTTGTATCTTGAAGTCCCACAGGATCTTAGCTTGGTCATTCTCAACCACCTTTGGAGGTGCATCCCATTTTGACTTTGGGACTTCCAGCCTTTGCACAGCCTGCACCTGGGGTCCTGTCTGGTATGGTAGCCCCCGGCCTCTATTGATCTTGTACTTAGTGCTTGTTCTTGTGCTGCCAGGATTAGTGCCTCTGTGCTACCTTTCAGTCCAGCTTTGTCCAGCCACTGGTAGGATTTTTCGATATCAGCCACTTCTACTATTTGACGGTGGTACATACCGTGCAGAGGTTTGTCCTTCCATGAGGGTTCCTGCTCTTCCTTCCCTAGTTCCTCTGGTTTCTGCTGCCTGAGGTGTTCACTAAGCACGTCATCACTCAGGGCCATCTTCCTGATGTATTCATGGATCTTTGTTGTTTCATCCTGGAGAGTGGCTCTGACGCTCACTAATCCTCGGCCTCCTTCCTTCCGCTTAGTCTGCAGTCTCAGGATGCTGGACTTGTGGTTAAACCCGCCGTGCATTGTAAGGAGCTTCCTTGTCTTGATGTCAGTGGCCTCTATCTCCTCCTTTGGCCAGCTATTGTACCTGATATAGATAGATATAGATATATATCTTTCTTTCTTTCTTCTTCTTTCTTTCACTTTATTTAACCAGGTAAAAAACCCATTGAGATCATGATCTCTTTTACAAGGGTGACCTGGCCAAGAGGTCAACAACACATGTCGTCAATACATAAGTTTCATATCTATATCTATATCTATATAGATATAGATATAGATATAGATATATATCTATATCTATATAGATATAGATATATATAGGAATTTAATTTGTGAAAAAGTGAGTGCATGAATTAAAGCAGGGCTTTTCATGGCTGTAATGTTTGTTCCAGTTTGAGAAGTTGGAGGGCATCCCAGAGTTGGATGTGATAATGGAGCAGGAAGAGGGGGAGTCAGATCAAGACGATAAAATCTGTTTACCACAGATGCCAGGGGACATCTTGGACCCTGTGCCCACCATCTCTCTGCCATCACCTGATCGTCACCCGCAGCATCAAAGACAGGTACTCGGTTATTCACCAGCTATTCACACTGTCTTTGCCGCTCGTTGTGGGAAAGAACATTTAAGTGAATCCTGACTTTTGTCCTTTTGGTTGGGGAATGACATAATTTTTTTTGAACATGAACTGAACATAGCATCAGTCAGGTTGATGAGAATTATGACCCAGATATTTATTAAGAGTCCAAGCAGTAATTATTTTGAGCACACCCAGTTTTATGCTTGATTGTTCAAACAAAATCATGGACTCTTAGTTAGATTTGAGGGACATAGACGTACAGTGGTGTGTGTTGAGACCTGTAGCTGTACCTCTGTCCACCACTTTGCTCTGTGTTAAAGTAAAGAAAGCACATAGGCATTTTGGGTGAGATGCATTATTAAGCAGCACTAAATGCTTGACTTTGTCTTTGGTTTTTCTGCATCACAAAAATGGGTCGTACATTGATCTGACATTGTTGCTTTATTCTGTGAACAGGCTACAGACTATATTAAGCTTTATGCATGGGAGCAGAAATGCAGGCTTGATTTAGTAATTGTTGCTCACATGGCTGCTGCAGCAAAGAGCAGGTAGAGATGATAAATCCTGCAATCTGTGTTAAGCTGTAAAGAGGTCATTGAAAGTTTTTGACTTGGAAAGAATTTAGGCAGGTTAGTAGATTGGTGAGGGAAAGGTCCTGATTCATTCCTCCAGGTACTGCCAGGTACTACTACTTTAAATGTTTTGATAAATGGGTCCATGTATTCTTTGCGTCTTTTGTGCTACTACCTGCACAAGGATACACTTTGGAAATGTTATATTTTTAGCAGGGAATACATGAAATGGAAGACGTCTCATGTTGTGATGGTCACATGATTTTTGTCCAGCTACACATAGTACAACCTTTTATAAGAATTCATATTCGTACACTGGATTGATGTGCTCTGGCCTTTTAGCACCTGAGCTCATATCGTGTCCTCAGAGAGCGACAGTTGCTGTTGTGACACCTGGAGAGGATGTTTTACTCACAGACTCTTTGTGCTTCAGTGCCTCCTGCCAACACCTGGAGAGTCTGCACAACAGGAGCACCAGAGGCAAACAGCTCTGCACACACCTCTCAGGAAAAGCATGCTGTTTTTTTTACTCACTGACCCACTGGACCCAGACCTTAGGTGTGATTAATTAAATGTTCTTAAACCCCCTGCATCATAACTGGCCTTAAATAAATCTAGTTTTACTAGTTTAGTTCACCTGTTTTCTTCAGTGTCGGTTGTCAAGAAAGGATAGATGGGAAAGGACAAGCAGAGCAGGAGACAGATGGAAAGCACAGTGGAGAAGTTCAAGTCAAAATGATTTATTAAGCACTTACAAAGCAGGTTTGTCCCAAAGTGCTTTAAAGGAATGAGAAGACACGGGCTCCGATATAAGCAAAAGACAAGTTTGTTACAAATGTCAAGATAAGGAAAGAACTTGCTGTCCTTATGTGCCTGATTAACAGTCCCTGTTTGTCTTTGTTCTGTCTGAATCCTCCATGTGCAGTTTGGTGAGAACCGTCGGGTGCTGCAGGCCCTGTGGACCCTGCTGGAAGAGTTTCGAGAGGAGCTGCGGGAGGAGGAGACGCAGCGATGCCAGCTGCAGCAGTCCTACGCCAATGACAAAGCCGCCTGGGAGGTCAAGTGGGCAGAGATGAAGTGCCAGGTGGCCAAGGTACAGATGGCATCTCAGCGCCCAGTGTTAAAGGGACAGGGCACAATCTGGTGTGGAAAACTAGTGGTGGAGGATGACAGTAAACATGTTGCCTCTCAGGGCAAACGTTTAACAAGTCAGGTCCTTTTGCTTTTTGACCTGTCACTTTAGTTCCCATGTTGGACTAGTCATTGTAAGTTGATTGACAGCCCAAAGTTGTGTCATAATCTGTATTACATATGACAACCAAATGGACAGAATCCAATTCATAATCACCCCTCAGCAACTAAATAAAAAAAAAAGGAAAGACAGTAACCAAGAAAATGATGATGAATCACTTGGTTGTCACTGTGTTCTGTCATTGTGCAAGCTAATTAATACAGCATTGTGCCTAATGGTTTGATGTGCCTCTAAGCATTTCTCGCTGAACTGAAGACAGCTGTTGAAGTGCTCTTTTATCTTCCTAATGGGGACTGTAAATACAGTGTAGAGTGGGTACAGACTGTTTTCATCTCAGCTAATACGAATGCATGAAAGTTGATACCAGTCATTTTGCACAGAAGCTGATGACGGCTTGTTTTATTAGTTCAAAAATGTTTAAATTTGCAAATACAGGAAAGGTGTCCAAAATTACAGTTGTTTATGATTTGTCCCAAATTCTTCTTTTTAAATAGCATTTACATCATCATGGGACATAAAAATGCTTCATCTGCATGCATGAAAATGAAAGTTTTAAGAGTCATGGTCTGAAAAGTGGCATCAGTTTATTTTTGGCCACTTGCGGGCTGTTCAGAAAAACAGTAAACACAACACTGACGTGTGTTGTCACCTTATGACAGATGTGTTGGCAACATTCATTTGGAATTTGCTGGCTAACAAAGTGTCACTCTCCTGTTTCCAGTCAAAATGTTCCAGCTGGTCTCTAACTTTGTCTGTCTGTTGCCTGGTGCTGGAGAGGTAGTGTACAGTGGGTTTATCAGAGCTTTTTTGCGTTGGTAGATGCAGTTTGACACCCACAGTGTCAGAGCTGTGCCTCTTCTCAGCGCTATCTGATAAAAACGAAACTGCAGCTTTGGGAACCAATTAAGAGGTCGGACTTATAGAAGGAAGATTATCTTTTTTAGCCCACATGCTTTTAATCTGTACAGCTTTTACATGGTTCATATCTTCACAGAGCAGAGGTCGCTGAGGGCTTCACTGAGAGCTAATTAACTTAGGTTTGTCTGATAACACTATGTTGAGTTCTTTTCTTTCTCAGCTATGCTTGGTGCTGATTAAGCTATGATTATTACATAGCCCAGTAGAGCAGAGGAGAAATGGAAATGATCCTCACCCGTGTATTTATATGGGGCTATAAGTAGGGATTACTTTTTCAGTCACTACTACCAGATATTCATTGCCCAGGCTTCCTCATGTTTCAATTCTCTAGTTAGGTAACTCCTAAAGAATAACTGTCTATATTTATAACCTCTTCCATCTCAGCTCTTAGCATTTAGTCAGCAGCTGTTACTGTACCTGCCATCACCTTCATTGGACAGTTTTAATCCCTAGTGTAAAAGTAGACCAGACAAACACTTGTTGGATGTTTGAAGGCAGACTTGACTTCACACAGCTTCAGTGCTGCAGACTCTGGTTTGTACCATTTATGTCGTGGGATCAAAGCCCGCTTAGCTCTACCTGGAAAAGAGAGTACAAGGTTAAAATATTTTTCACGGCATGTATGATAGCTCTGGATTTGTGAAATACATTACTTTAAAATGTACTGATCCTTTGCTGGAGGAGACAAAAACAAAAGGAGAGCCTCCACATTAATACAGTGGAAGTGAACTGAACAGCTGCATGTTTTCCAGAAACAATGTTTCAGTTTCTGTTTGTAAGCCACAGTTTTCAGAGTGACTATATCTTTGGTCAAAAGTAGTTCCAATTAAAACTGTTTTGTAATTTGAGTGAATTGGGCCTTTAAGTGGGACCTTCTTCTCACATGATAGTTCAGATTTTATGCCTTCTATTAAGTGTATCCATTATTAATAATGACTAATCATCACAACATCCCTGTATCTTTGCCCTGTGACCAGCTGGAGCAGGAAGCACGAAGCAAAGTGCGAGGTGAAGCTCAGGGAGGTGAAGGTGACCCTGAGTGGCCCTTGAAACAGGAGCGTGAGGAGCACCGGCGTTTGTTGGCTGAGAGCCACAGCACCTCCCTGGACCTTCGCTGGAAACTGCAGCACGGAGAGAAAAGGTGGAGCCGCGAGAGGGCCGAGCTGCTGGAACGCTTCGACCGGGAGCGACAGGAGTGGGACGGCAGCATGAGGGAGCTCCACCGCAAGATGGAGAGGGTAAGGAAAGGATAATGACTCCATGGAAATCTCGAGGTCTGCTGAGTGGCTTCCCATCACATCACACAGTCTTCCCCAGTTGTCACGGAACTGAAGATGCTTAAATTCTCTATTTTCTCAGTACTTCTTTTCCATGCTGGTGTAAAAGTTGACTGAATGTTCACTCTTGGAAATGTTCTTCCCTTGGAAACGGCAGCTGACAAAACAGTTTCACCACAAAGTCCATTTAGTAGCTGTTCAACTCCATTGTATCATATCTGGTTCCAAGGTCGAGAATAAACTTTCAATCCCAATTTTTGAGCCAACATGGATTGAAGGGTCCTCAAAAACTGAAAATGTGAGCATTTACTGTACAATTCCATGACATCTGTCTGCTGAGGATGATTGTGTGATGTGACTGAAAGATCTGGAGCAGCAGCTTAGTAGGTTTTAGTAGGTCCTAGTAGCTGCTACTGAATGGGCCTTGTGATGAGACCTTTTTGGCAACTTCTGTTTCCAAGGTCACGAACAAACATTCATTCACAAAGCTGATGAAATTCAATCATTTATGTGTTGTTTTTCAAGCAAAAATGACAAAAGTTTGTGGTTACAGCTTTTTACTTTATTTCTTTGTTGGTAAAAATAAAATATATGTAATTTTATGCCTTCATATAGCTGACAGCAGAAAACCTTTCTTTTTGCCAGGCGAGTTCCATTGAGGTTGAAAAAGACCCAGCCAGATATTTGGTGCAGCTCAAACCAGAACTAGCACAGCTTAAAAACCTGGAGTCTGTTTGTTAAGCTATGTATCGTACAAATGTGTTTGTGAGTGTGTTTGTGAGAGAGAAACAGGGGCAAAGCACCCAACAAGATTCTCTTCTCTGGTGTTTGGTATTTTACCGAGGCTTACTGAATAATAAATGTCCTTTGTGAGATTTAATTAGACAAACTGCAGCATCTCGCCTTGTTTATGTCTAATGTTCAGGGCAGGAAGTAGGAACATGCACTGGTTGATGTGACATGAGTGTGGGAGTATTAACATATAAAGCAGGGACAGGAATAATAACACTTGCCAGCTGCGGGAACAACAAATAACTGCTGATGCAACGGTGAATGGAGACGGAGCAGGAAGTAGAGATGCATTATTCAGCAATGTTGCAGCAAAATATGATGCTAAGATCACAAGTCAAAATGAATGAGCAATTTGACTCTTTGCCTTTAAGCTTAAGGCTGAAGCAAGCAACTTCACCCTGAATGTTATGGGTGGTTTACTGAGTGACACGCAGGAAGGGATACTACCAGGACAGTTGTACACTTATATCATGATTACTTGCCAAAATTAAAAGGCTAAAGTGATGTATATATCAGCTGATAAGTTAACATAACTGCAGTATAGAGTAATGGATTAAATCCATTATATAGTAACAGATTTTTTTTTAAAACTCTCAAATATTGGCATCAACCTCAACAATCCAGGCTTTGTCAGGTTTTGATGTTTTAGATCATTAACCAACAAAATGCAGAGGTGTTTATATTTATTTGCCCTCCTAACTGTCCTTCATATGTACCTGTGTCTGTCATTCTTGGTGCAGATGCAGAGAGAGCTGAACACCTGCCGTGGAGATGGAAGTTCAGGCCAGAGAGGCGTGTTCTCTTCTCAGGACAGTCCCTGTAGTGCTCCCCGGTCACCTCGTTCTCCCCGGTCCCCCTGCACATCCGCCCCTGTCCCAGGTGCCCCCACTCGCTCCCACTCGGACTCCGAGGCCATGCTGGAGGAGCAGGGGGCCGCAATGAGGCTGAAGGGCATGACGGAGAACCTTTTCCTGGATGCATTGTCTCTGGACCCCCTCAGCAGCATGGAGGTCCCTCCACCCTCTGGACTGGAGAGTGAGAAGAGATTCCCCTGCATGAAGGAGGTAACACACCCATCAGTGAAGTCAAGACACGTCATTAATTTGTGCCGTACCGTATTAAAGCAGTCTGCACCAAAGTGCCTAACAATAGTATGTTGCACAATATGGGTAAAGGAGGCAGCGTGAAAATGTGGGTGTGATGCAAATACGCACATGGTTCAGACTAATGCTGACTGCGGACTAATCTGCCACTTTGGTCCGCAATAAAATATTTCCGTAACTGTTAGGTGGGTTGCCATAAAACTTTTTTAAAGACATTCTGGTTTCCAGAGGATGAACCCTAATAACTGCGATGATCCCAGACTAGTGCCACAATTAAGGTGACATTTTGGTGTTTGAGTAAAATTTGAAATAACCCATTTGGAACAGAGCGTTTTTACCATGTTTTAATTTTAGCTGAAAGAAGTAAACTGAGACACGAAAAGTCTGTCCTTCAAATTAAACATTTAGTGTTTGTCGCATCATATTTAGCATTTTGTACGTTTGAGATTGTGTTGCTTCAGTAAAATGTGCTAAACAGCTATTACAGTTTAGTTTAGTGTTGTCACCGCGAGTTCCCTGGTTTTTGAATGATTGATATTCCTCATTTTAGAATCTACTTCTTTAATTACAGAAGCTACTGTCTATAAATCATTTTACACCAAACCCTTTCCAGATGATCAGATTCCATTTGTTGTATTTCAGGCCCTGAATGAGATTTCGGAGCGAGAAGGTGCTCCTGTGTACCCAGAGGAGGAGCTGGGAGGTGGGAGTCTGCTCAGGTAACGCACCAAGTGGTCAAACTCCTCTTTAGAAGCTGCTGCATTTTAATAAACATCAACAGTAAATACATCAGTGTTAGCAGGTTATTCCGCCTCCTGCTGCACTTTTGTTGCTTATACATACTCATTGGTCCCTCGGGAGGTCAGCTCTTGATTCTATTAAGAGTTACTTGAAATGACAGTGAGTTTCTCCCTGTGACAGTTTCTCATATGGTGTGGAAGTGATGCAGATAAATAATTCAGACAATTTTAAAACATTGAAATCCACTGAATTGCTCTACAAATAATATGCAGGTACATTTAGGATTTTTTTTTTTTGTCAGTGGGAATAGAAAGGTGAGGATGAGGTGAGTAGGTGGGATGTTTGTTGTGACGTTAGTGTCCCCGGTGAAGGTAGTGTTCATTAACTGTATGTGTGTGTCCTGTCCAGAGCCAAGTCAGTTTGCTCCATGAGCGACTTCCAGCGGTTAATGGACAGCTCGCCATTCCTCCCAGACAAGACTCGCCACGGTGATCAGGAAGAAGATGATATCACCCCGCCGCTGTCCCCAGATGACCTCAAGTATATTGAGGAGTTTAACAATAAGGGCTGGGACTTCCCATCATCCACCTCTGGCCCAGGTCCTGCCCAGGAGGTGTGGACAGATAAAAATTCAGGGGCTCCAGGAGGGGAGCTCATACCTGATCCATTCCAGCCAACCTCCTGGTTCCTGACCACCAGTGCCACCCTGACCACCAGCACCGTAAGCAGCCCTGAGCACTGCCATAAGTCCCAGCGGAGGGGAAACGGAGCAGGGGCGGCGGGGATGGGTGTGGAGCACTATGGGGTGCACAGCCTCCACAGCCCCGCCAGACACGGGGCAGCTGAGCGGCCCACTACCCAAGACCCAAACTACCTGTATGCAAAGGGGACCAAAGCTAGGAGTGGAGAAGAAGCTGGGGTGGGGCCCAGTGGGCCGGATGAGATGTTCAGCAGTGGGAGATGGCCATGTGGGCTTCTGGAGGGTGGGGGGCTGAGGACGTCTCCTAGTCAGTCTCCTATCTGCCCCATGGTGGGCTATGCCTCTTCTTTGGAGCTTCAGCTCTCCAGAAACATGAGTGACGACATGAAGGAGGTGGCCATTTCTGTGAGGAACGCCATCCGCTCTCCACCAGGACCTGTTTTCAGGGACACTGCCTGCCAGACAAATGGATTCGCCACACGAGGCACTCAGACCACCCAAACCATCAGTGTGGGGCTACAGACAGACTTGTTGAGGAACGTAACCAGCAGCCCCCACTGCTGCCTCACCCCAAAGGGTGGGAGCACACCCATCTCTTCCCCGTCACGCAGCTCAAGGAAGGTCCAGTATTCTCCTGTCGCCCAGAGTAAGTTTGAACGACCGTGCTGCTCACCAAAATACGGCTCACCCAAACTTCAGCGCAAACCGTCCACGTCCAACAAGGCTGAACTACCCAATACCAGCCGCGCTCCCACCCCCACCACACCCCAAAAGGGCAACAGTGAGTCAGCATGGGCCCGTTCTACCACCACTCGCGACAGCCCTGTCCACACCACCATCAATGATGGCCTATCCAGCCTCTTCAATATCATCGACCACACCCCCCTTTATGAATCCATGCAGAAATTCAACAAGTCGCCCAGTCGCTCACGCCCCACCCCACCCTCCACCACCGAGCCCAGCCCTCTTCACGGGGCTCTCGCCACAGACCCCAGGAATGTGCAGGAGTGTTTGCGGACTGCTCGAGGGCGCTCACCCAGCCCTGTGCAGCTGATAGTGGAGACACAGGGGGATAAAAACCCAGAGGTGGTGAGCATACGACAGGACCTGTCCGCCCCGCCGGGCTACACGCTGGCTGAAAACACAGCCCGCATCCTCAATAAGAAGCTGCAGGAGCAGAGCTTTAGAGAGGAGAGGAGGCTGCAGGCTGGAGGACAGAGCAGCCACAGCAGAGACAGCAGCAGGCAGGCCGACTCGGACAGAGCACAGTCTGGATGTATGGAGGTAAATATACAGATGCACTGGATTCAACGCTTCATCATTCATTTGATCTGGGGCCCATGTTTTATGACACGGTGATATTTATGACTTTGCCTTGGATTGTCCTTGTAATGGTTGAAGACAAACTTTAAAGGATTTGTGATTGATCAGAAAAAAGCTAATCAAGGAAACAGCTGCATTATAGTAGCTACTAAAATGTTTGTGCTTTTTTTCTGAGATTGAAAGCTCTGACTGATGCACTGGTAATGTTAAAATATTTAACCTTCCTTAGTAATGCTGTACATCCCTTCAGTTCTGTATATAGAGACTCTTAAAGCTTTCTTTTTCTGTATTTTCCTCTTTGCTGTAGTGACTTCTTTGTAGTTTGGCTGTTATTTCTGTGCTCTAATTATCACCAAAGCTCAACTGGATGATTTTTCATGTGTCTGAAAACTGGAGAAGAAAAATTAATGATCTCACAGCTGTAAGTTAAGTGGGACCATAGTTAGAGGGTTGCAAAATCAATCGTCATCAGCACCCTCTATTTCATTGTTCAATGAGAATTTTAAGTGAATCCAGTTTTGGAAGTGGTTTGATCTTCCCTAGACCAAATTAAACCTAGAAAACACTCATTTTACTTGATGAAATCAGCGCTGTGACACATCGGTCGGGACCTTTTCACCACCCATTCAGCTGATCTGTGGGAAAAAAGATCCATCTAACCATGTTGAATGGTGAAACAAAAAGCAAAATGCTTTCAGTGGACTGTCTGTACTGGAGCATCTCCTATTATGGCTCTCCACAGATAAAAATCCCAGAAAAGTAGGTCATGCTGTGTTAAAGCTGTACATTAACACACCCTAGACTAACTGTATATCTAAAACCACTATATGTGCAGTAAGCAGCATAATCCCACATTAATATACCCTCTGACATCGAGGTGTCACCAGCTGCTGTTCGCTGAGCTGTAGAGATGGTGCAATTAGAGTCTGACATGTGATTTTATGGATGGTAGTGGAGTGTGTGTTCCCTGCAGTCAAGTGATGCTGTGACATCTGTGGATGACGGTCACAGCTCAAGCAGAACAATATGATGGGGTTTGAGCACACAATATGTCAATACTGTAATATATATACAGTACACCTGGATACAGCTCCTATTTTACCATTGCTTTGTGCTTTGAATAGATAGATACACACAGAAACAATATGTGAGAGAAGGGGAAATGGAAAAAGTCCCCATCTTAGCCATTTATATTTACTATTGGTAAACAAATCAAAAAATTAATTTGCTTTAGGGATGGGGAATAGAATGAGACCTTGTATCATGGTCATGCAATTCAGTTATACAATGCAATGCAATGCAATTAAACAACTATTTATAAAAAAATTAATTTGCTTTAGGGATGGGCAATAGAATGAGACCTTGTATCATGGTCGTGCAATTCAGTTATATAATGCAATGCAATTAAACAACTATTTATAGATAAATGATCAGGTGCAATTTGTTTTTAGCTAATCCACTGAATTAGGGCTGCAACAAACCAATAAATATGTGCTCCCGGGCTACTTTAGTTGCTCCTAGCATAACAGACAAATTTCTGACTGAACTGTTTGCAGTCAAATTGCATTGTGGGCAATATAGGCACCAGGTTTTGACAAGAGAGAAGTGTGTGGAATAAAAAAAAGACAGCATCTGGCTTTGCAAGTTTGTGATAGAGAATGTGAGAGTGGAGGACTTTTTCAAAATTATTTAGTCTCTAAAGTGTCAGAAAATTGTGAAAAATGTCAATCACAGTTCCCCGAAGCATATAGTGACAACTCTAACTTTGTTGTTTTGATCCAGAGCTCAGCTGTATCGATCCAGAACAATATCACATCCACAGCAATATTCCGTTTACTGTACAATATTATAAAATAGAGAGAAGCAGCAAATGCTAACCTTTGAGAAGCTGTGATAGAACCAGAGGATGAGTTATTTGTCATATAATTCTCATATCTGTTTGCTCGATATGGATCTATAGCCCAGCAGCTGGTTAGCTTAGCTTAGCATAAAGACTGTAAAAAGGGAAAAAAACTAGCATTACTTATCATCTTCATGAAGGGAAGATTTATTGCAGGACTTTTGTATTAGATCGCATTAGTTTTAATGAGGGGTACCTATTAAATTGCCAACTGAATTGATGTATAATGAAGTAACACCACTTCTACCCAATGAGTACTTCAGATTCTGTCAGTACATTTGCTGATAATACTTTTGTAGTTAAAGTAAAATTCTCCACTGCACCTGTGAGGTTGTTTTTACCAAGTCAACAATCTGCTGCCAGTTATGCTAACCTAAGCTAACCAGCTGCTGGCTGCAGCGTCATACAGCACAGACAGGTATGAAAGTGGTTAATCGATAATTAAAGCTGTTGCAGATATAGTTTCTGTCAAATGACTACTTGTCTCAGCCTCTCAAGGTGAATGAAATGCCAGTTAAATCAAAGTACTTTATTACATTCAGGTAAACTGTATCTCCATTCTTACCTTATAACAGTCCTGCACATTTAGGTGCAGCATTGCCCACGCTGGCTTACAACCAGAAGTAATAAAAGAGATTAGTGACTCGGTAGAAATGATATTTGTCTGCCTGTGTCAAGTCTCATCATATTGCCCGACCCTATTTTGGTGTATTTTTGGCCTTTCATATTGAATACTACCTGAGCAGCCTGTGTGTATCTACACTAAGGTCAGCTTCCCTTCAGATCATGTGTTATTCCAGATCTAAAGTGAATGGGTGTGTGTTTATTGCTCTTTGTGCCACCTCATTTCTTCTGGTCAGACTTATCGTGTATCTCCTCTTCCTCGTTGCTCATTTTTACCGATTTAACATTCCCACTCTATCTCCCCTCCTTCTCCCCCCCTCTCTCCTCCCCTCTGGGTTTATCTCTCCCCGCTCCTCTCTATCCGCTGTCTGCTCCGATCCAGAACCACACTGTCATACTAACAACTCCTTGGGGACTCTAACTCTGCTTGTCTCTATGATGTAAGTTCCTCTTCCTCTATGACCTTTGGCGGTGGGTTCACCAACCACACGGACCGTTCACCTCACACCCTGCAGACCTCCCCCCTTCTCACCCTGTTCATCAATGCATGCTTCACAGGACAGCACAGTGACAGTGTGAGCCATCGGAGTGGTGTCACAGGTTGTGCGGCGGCCATACATCTGTTTCTTTGCGTTGAAACGTGCACGCTCAGTTCATTTGGTTTAGAGTATCTGTTTTTTGTTTGTTTGTTTTTCTTTAAAGGACCATACTGGTGTCTTTGCATGTTTTAGTCCATTAACCATAAATCACATGTACTGTTTTCAAATGCTATATCAGAAATTTTTAGATTATTGGAGTTAAATGAAAGTTTTCCCCAGTATGGTATGAAAATCAACGTTAAGAGACTTGCATGAGATATGAGGTCCATTACTGCCAACATGTATTAAGTTGTATTCCTTTAGATTTGGTCTGTCATAGTTGACAGCAGCAGCTACTCTCGTTGCTTATAATTTAAGCGTTATAAGTTATAGTCACATTTCCCACCAAATTGAGTGCAAATTTTAACTGTGTTTTTAGAAAACGAGCAAAGTACAGTGAGGAACAGAAGTATTTGAACACCCTGCGATTTTGCAAGTTCTCCCACTTAGAAATCATGGAGGGGTCTGAAATTCACATTGTAGGTGCATTCCCACTCTGAGAGACAGAATTAAAAAAAAAAAATTCAGGAAATCACATTGTATGATTTTTAAAGAATTTATTTGTCTTGCACTGCTGAACATAAGTATTTGAACACCTGAGAAACAGCAAGAAT